TCATATGAATTACCGTAGGATCTCGGCTAGCTTCGTGCGGGGATGATGTACCGTAGGAGCGGGGATAACTGAGTCCCCCGCCATAAAATTTCCCGAATCCCTTTGACAAAGCAGTATAAAAAAGCAGATATCCGGATATTATCTGCCTTCCCGAGCATGGCGATAAAAACAGAATTCTTGCAGGTCGCTTGTAAGTTGAGCTAAAGCCAAAAGAGTGTAATACAAGGTTAGGGTATTTCGTTTGCAGCAAAAATGCACTGGGCATTTCTCTTGCCCGCCGCACTCGGCCAGAAGAAAAGAGAAAATAAGCTCATAGACTGGACCGATTTTTCCATCTTCCGCAGTAGCGCGGTGGAACGGAAACAACTGGGAATGACTGGTGCCGGGGGAGCAATTACGGAAACTTTCCACCAGTGCAGTAGGCCAAAAACTTGTCATTCTATCCTCATTGCTTGTATGAGCTTGCGTTGGTGTACCCTGTGGCCTCGGTCTGCTTGGTTTTTCGATGGGCTGTGGTGGCCTTTTTTTGGGGGGGGGAGCCCGGGGAAAGTACGCACAAGTGCTTTACTTAGGGTTCGTTCGGTTAACAGCTGAACGGACCGTTCGAGAAGGGGATTTATGATGCCCAGCCGTTCACTCTAGCGCGGCCGTTCATGAAGTGGATTTGGTGTTCGGTTAATATCCTTTCGTTCACCAAAAGAGGATGCGAACGGTCAAAAGTGAAAAGGACCTCCTGAGGTCCTTTTCACCAGCCGTTGGTGCTTCTCAACCACCCCCGCTCAATTTTAACCATAAGGTTGACTAATGAATGGTCGGTTGAACGGTCTCCTTAACCTAACAGCTTTTCTGGGGGTGGACCAAATCCAAGCAACCGTTGACAGCTGTGAACGGTCATGTCTGGAACGGCAGGTGAACGGTCCATAGTTAACCGAACGGAGCCTTAGAGAGTCTCTTTGGACACGACCGTTATGTTCCGCCCCCCCATACAAATTGACCGTTCGCTAAGGGAACCGTCAGGCAGTTTGTATGGGTGAATATAACGGAATGACCTTGTCCAAACAGACCCCGAATATGTAAGCACGGTTGGGTGAGGTAGGGTATCGGTACTTGAGTCCCGTGCTCTAGCGAAACTATTTGTTAGGGTTTAGGTTAGCGATCCTCTCTGCACTTACGGTTGAAGTGGCTCGATACCCTATTGGTGCGAATATCATAACGAGTTGCCGCGCCTTGATAAAATTTGGAACTGCCCTTATACGCTTGATGACTGATTGGAGATCATTTGATTGGCCAAATTTTTTTACTTTGGATCTCCATTCACGGGCTCTACCGGGTGGGGCGGTCATTCTTGCGGTTGGGCATCCGGAGGTCACGTTTGCAGCCTGCCCACCGCTGACGCCGTCTTTGACATCGGGTGCAGCACGAGCCATGTTTCGGGTACCGGGCTGTGCTCGTGCCTTTCCGCCAATGTGGCAACGAATTTTTGGTCACGCATGGCGCAGCTTCTATTGGCTGAAGGGATACTGGTGGTTCATGGTCAGTGGCACCTCCTTGTGCTAACGGTATGAGTCTGACTGCTCGTGCTGTAGACTAGAGAACTATCGGCATAAAGTAGTGTGAATTTTGGGGCAGGTCGATTCGCCAATTATTCTCGGGGTAGTTAGCCCTGTGTATTTCTCGCGCAGTACTCGAGGACCGTTGACGTATTAACTTACAAGAGTATCATATTGGAGTACCTTGAGGTCCAGTCCACAGGCTTTGAAACCTGCGAGTTCCCGTTGGGACCATTGTGCATGGGCCCCCTTGCCTCCAGACCGAAGATATCCGCGAGTCGAACCACCCTGCCTTAGATAACTGAAGAGCACAACATCGCGTGGTCTATGGTCGCCTTTCGCTTCGCTTCGGGGCCTGCATCCAATGCTTTCGGGATCTATAGGTTCACTCGAAGACACTTTCCTCGGAGGTGTGAGTTCGCTCATGGGGTGATGATTACGCACTGAACACAAAAGGGGGGTAACCTGGAAACTGGTGATTGGAGTTATTGAATCCATGGGATGCCGTCGCCATTCGACACTTCTTACAATCGGCTCGGCGACCACCATTCGATGAGGGTGTTTAACATCAACCTGGGTATTCCTTGGGTGGTCTGATAACGTCAAATTCATATCAACGGGGGCTAAGCCTATGTTGGAACAATTTGGGCCTCTGGCCACGTATGGCTAGCTGCCCACCAATCCGCCCTGAGTGTGCCTTGATGCTGTTTCGGAGGGCCAAAGAGGCAGAGGAAGCTACAAGCACCTGGGGCGCCCCTACCACTCGGGCGACAGAACTTGGCCAGGGGAGCTGCCTGTGATGAGCTTGGTCCCTCCTTGCGGGCGGGGTTGGCCGTTTGTGGCTTCCTCGCGGAGGATTGCCCGATCGTCTGTCTGAGTGTCAGGGGATGTCCCAGTGGCTGGTGGTTTCGTCTCATTCCCCCCACAGCAAAGACAACCAGACCTAGCCATGAGTAAAATCCGCTGCTTGAGTGACCGGTTTCTCATCGTTGCAACGATCGTGATACAGGATTTGCCTCCAAGAGCCCTCGCGGGCCTGTAAAAGGCCATATTGATTAGCCTGGTGGTGGTCGTTGTGTGTGAGATTATAGAGCACTGCCCTGGGGGCCTTAATCCCGCAGCGCATACATTGGAGACCTTTCGATGCTAAAATCACCATCGCTCACTCGGGGGCACTCCACCTGCCAGCCCGAGGGACATCGTACTTCGGCAACCTCCGAGTAGACATCTGCACCCCCTCCAGCCACCGACATCAAACCCACCCCGACAAGTAGTAGCCCATGGGTTGGATTGTCTACAGCTGCCCGAGTCCCATCTGTACTCTTTCCACACACGCCCCTCTCATTCCCTCGGTAAAAGGAGGTATATTTGCACAAGGCTTTCTATCATGGTTCCTTTTGCGTTCAGACTTGTGTACAAGCTAAATAAGCTTGGGAATTTCGGCGTTTATAAATTGTGTCTGTTGGTACCACATACTGTGGTACTTGAATAAAATAATACAGGTATTTTATTACCGAGCCCGAAGGTGCAGGGGATAACCTATGTTTCTCTTAGGGTTGAGAATGGAAGCTATCATAGTATCATACTCAGATTGTTCAGGAGGCCTGTGTATAGTTCTTCTGCTATCACTGTTTACATGGAAGGCTCTGCAGGGGTGTCCGTCTCTTGTCACTGGAGTGCGCAGATGGATAGAAAAATGTGTCGGGGAGCGGAGGTGCATGTAATGTTTGAATAACCAATGTGCGTATAATATACTATAGGTTATACTCCTGTTTCAGCTTTATTGTTAGATTGGTTATAAACGCACTGGGGCCGAAGTGTATAGCCATGCCCTACCTTTCCTACCTTTGCTACTAAGCACACAGGCCCCAAGCGATTCCCTTCACTCGAGCGCTGCGCCGCTTATCGTTTGCCCAGGGAGTTCCCGTAGAGTTGATTTGGGCCATTATAATACCTAGCCCAGTCTGGCAACATATAGTCTTTCCCCACTCTCCAGGGATAGGTAAACAAGCATCTACATTTAGTTGATCCAGAGAAAGGGTATTGGGCGAAAAAAGATTCATAGGAGACCTGTGGGAGACAAACAAGGGATCGCCACCACCGTGATCAAGCTGCTTCATTACTTTTTTTTTTATGGGAAGAAAAACTTGACATCATATGTGGGTTTGGCACGCACCGATTAATGGTCTAATTTGTCCACTTTAGTTGGGCACACGGATAATGAAGTCCATCACCCCCCTTCCCTACTTTTGGTCTCGCACCTGTAGCACTTGCCGGCGTGTGTAACGGTACCGACTAGTGACATCAAATTTTAAGATGGCCTCTCCTCTCCTGCGCTCCTCTATCACCATTTTGAATCTGTAGTCCTGTATCTTCCCTGTGTTATAGGGTAGGGTTTAACTTGGCATGTATTAGAAGATCTATCTCGGTGGGGGTACGAGGTAGTTGAGACGTTGGAAGTCGCCTGTGTGGTATGCAGGGGTGTTTTCCCCCCCTTCTATTGTCTTGAGCCGGGGCTCACGGGTGTGGGTTTTCGCTGTGTTTTTCTGGGGTTCCAAACCGAGACTTAGGCCCTGTTTGGCTCGCACATTTTGTAAGGTATTCCCTTATAGAATGCATTTTGTAAGGTTTTATAAAATGCATTTTATAAGGTCATAAAAGTTCATTTTGTAAGGTAAGTTTTGCCAAACGCTCCTATGGACTTTTGTAAGGTTAGAATAAATAAATGCATTTTGGGTTTAGACCCTAAACATAGTGAAAAATCTTTAGAAGAAAAAAACAACCTTTATAGTTTCTCTAGTCAATAGTACTGCAGTAATACCTGCAGATCTCATTTCTTTTGACTTTTTTTTTCCTATTACTACCTCTTTTATCCTATTCCTTTCACCTACCTTTCAAGTTACATTGCTCAGATTTCATACTATGGATAGAGAAGAAACTGATGTTGAGGATGCAGTTATTATTGCAGTGGTTGCCATTCAAACAGTATCGATAATTACACAATTACAGTCATATCTTTTATTCCAAACTATTCCACGCAATCCCCAACCAAAGCATACATCAACTCTTGCTGGTCAGGATTATACAAATGAGCTTCTAAGTTCTGGACATAATCAGCGATTCATAGAATGTCTCCGCATGCCTCTAGAAGTTTTCAATCAACTTTGTCACCTTTTTCGCCAGAAGACAGAATTGCAGGATACACGATATACTACGGTTGAACACAAGGTTCACATATTTCTTTTCATCACTACAACTGGAGCATCAAACCGAGTGGCACAGGAGAGATTTCAACATTCCGGAGAAACAATCAGTCATATTTTTAAAGATGTACTGAAAGCAATCAACTCTTTAAAGGAAGAATTTATTGCACAACGATTTCGATCCAATGGGGGCAATTCAGACAATATTCAACCTGAAATCCAAGGAAACCCAAAATTCTTTCCATTTTTTAAAGATTGTATAGGAGCCATCGATGGTTCCTTGATACCAATCATTGTATCCTCAAATCAAGCTGCTGCGCATTGGACACGGAAGGGTTTTACAGCTCAAAATGCATTTGTTGCCTGTCCTTTTGATTGTACAATTGATTATGTGTTAGCTGGATGGGAGGGGTCTGCTCATGATGCAAGAGTTCTTGCTGATGCAATTGGAAAGGGATTTGAAGTTCCTAAGGGTAAATACTACCTAGCAGATGCTGGTTATGGTATTTCATCTAGTTTTCTTACTCCATATAGAGGAGTAAGATATCATCTAAAAGAACAGGTTATTGGAAATCAAGCGTCAGTAAACCTCTACCTTATTTGATTAAAATAAAATACAGCAAGTATTTTTAATATTATTAATTACAGTTTCTAACTACTTATTGAATATAGACCACAAAATGAAAAGGAGCTTTTCAACTTACGTCACGCCTCTGCTCGCAACTGCATCAAACGAACACTGCGAATTCTTAAAGCACGATATACAATCTTGAAATCTGCTTCAGATTATGGTTGTCAAACATCAGCAGAACTTTTTACAGCTCTGTATTGTTTACATAACTTTATCATTCGCAATGGGGCCAGACTCTCAGATGTTAGACTTGAAAGGTATGAGAATGGATATGCTGAACAACCTTATCAGCAAGAAATTATTGAGCCAGTAATGACCCAAAGAGAAAAGAAAAGAAAGGGAGAAGAGCTGAGAGATCAAATTGCAACAAGTATGTGGAGAAGCTACCAGGAGATAATGAGAACAAGAAGGTTTATACATGTGTAATAGACTAGACATAATTACTGGTACTAGAATGATTAAAGTACAGTATCCTCAATCCACTCAATTTGCAAATCCTCAGGCATCAATACAAAAGTGATACAATCAATAGGGCGCTTTTCCAATGCTGCCACTGCTGTTTTAACAGTATTCTTTGCTATCTTTCCAGCTTTATATAAAGCCATAACAATGCTAACTGCCTCTGCATACTGTCTGAATTCTGATGAAACTGGTATCCTGCTCAAGGGTGTTTGGGGAACACCATCCTTGCCTTCTTCAATTACATCATCCAAATGTACTCTTTTTACTCCCCTTGTTTCAGCCAACAAGCCAGCAACATCCTTTACCATTTTTTCAGCATATCCAGAGATTTTCTGTGCCTCCTGAGCTGCCACCTGACTTTGGGAAAGACGCTTGCGAGGATAGGATGGTATTCTGGAATTCTGGGTTGATCTGGTAGGAACTGGAGTCATGGGTAGCTCTCGAAATAAGAAATCAGGCTCAATCAGAATTGGAGTCTCAGAATTTGATTGGCTGATACCTTCATCCTCTGATGGAGGCTCAGGATAGTTCCTTTTATTAATTGTATTAGTATGCTTCTCATATATTCTAACATAGTAGACTCGGATATTTGTGATGTTATAAACATACCAATTACTACTTTCGAACTCAAGTTCCACAGCTTGATTCAAATTGCAATCAAGATCCTTCTCATTTGTATTTACTTCCTCTCTGATATTAGGACTCAATATCTGACTTGTCGATACAGTATTGAGACCAGTAGCTGTAGTATTGCTGAAAATAACATGTAGATCCTTGTAATAATCTAATGCCTTCACCTTAAAGGAAGCTGATGCAGGATGTTTCTGTATATTTCATAATATACTGTTAGTATATCTCTTTGTTTAACGATAACCTTTTTTGACTTATTAAGTTAATCTCAAATCTCTCCACCTACCTCAAGGTAATCATTCCAAACACTATCTGTAGCTGTTACAACTTCTGAGGCTGTGTTCCATCCAAATCCCGAGGAATTAAGTAAATGGTTGAATGCTCTCCATTGCCTTTTCATCTGTATTAGATATTAGTATAAAATGTAGAGTAATTTAAAATAGAATAAGTATAATAGAAAAATTACATACAAATCCTACACGGTTTTTAATCTGGCGAACATTCAATTCTAGTTCTTCTCCTCTTCCTTTGTTGAATTGAGTCATAATTTCCTGCCAAACATGACTTTTAAATCCATTGTCCAACTTTTTTCCTTTCTGACATTGCTCCAATATCACATCTATCAATGCCTTATCAGCTGCCTTGGTCCACATTGCTTTTGCTGTATGGCTTGTTGGCTGAGAACTGAAAGACATTGGTATTGGATAGAAAAAGAGAGGTTTGTCGAATATTCCTTTGGTTTGAGGTACTAAGAGGGGCCTGGATTGGTTGCTTGTACTTGTTGGAGAGGCAGAGACTGGGAAAGAATGATGTATGTTTGTTGAGGTAGTGGGAAGGAGGCAATAGATCTGATATTGTGTGCTCTGAGTGGAAGAAGATTGGTTGTTGGTGCCAGAGTTTTAATTGCAAAAATAAGAGAGTTTATAGAGAGATTGATGGTCTGAACATTTAACTAGGATAGAGGGTTTTTTTTTTTGACTTTTCAAGAAAAAAAACTTTATTAATTTTTACATTAATTGTGAAAAAAAGAAAACCTAACTTACATGTATTTGATATGTTATTGGTATAAACCCTATAGTAGCTACCTTACAAAATGCATTTTGTAAGGTTTTCAAATTCAACTATTCAAGTGCTATGTTGCCAAACAGCCAAACCTTATAGAATACATTTTGTGAGGGAATACCTTACAAAATACATTCTATAAGGGAATACCTTACAAAATGTGCGAGCCAAACAGGGCCTTATAATATTCCACCAATCTATTGGACTCCCTGGCTACAGTAATGGTGCTGTGAAGGCCTTGTCAGGGCCAGGGGAGTGATTAACCGGGGCTAATTCCTAAAAAGGAGCATTTCCCCGCAATTAAACCTACTTAACCTACTTAAGGTGATAGTGTTACACAGATGACGCTACCTGTATGCGGGGGGTTCATAAAGACGAGCCCCAGGGAGTCCATTGCGCCAACACTCCCTTACTGCCAATTAAGGGATAGAAGCAACCGGCTGAGGGGCAGAAGTGCTGTTTTGGGTGCCAGGAAATGTGTGAGGAGGTCGTTGCCTCCCTGTTTTCGCCGAGAAAGTAGCTGTGCATATAGAGCCTTTCGCGTTTGGTTCGGGCCAGCCAAGGCTCGCTTACCGTATGTTGCCCGACCCCTCGCCCCGGGATTTTGCTAGTCTCTGCTCGCAAATGCCGGGACTGGTAACGCCCAGACGTGAACCCGCCTTCGAGGGAGGAGCAAATTGAATGAATTTGACCTCTGAGACATCGAAATTAATTTACCGCGCCAACATTCCTCTCCCTCAAGTGATTAATATTTTTTCTAGGGCAGTGAGAATAGGGAATGGGGATCCTTGATCTGGTAGCAGTTGATTCCGAACTCGCTCTAGACCGGGCTTGATATTTAACTGTTTCTCCCCATACTTGGCAAGACTGTCCACTCTACTCGAACTCGAGCTCACGGCGCGCCATACCGGTGTCCTACATCCAGCTTCGAAGACCAAATTCTTGACATACAAGTGGTCTGGATGTATCCGCCGCAAGGTCTGTACGGATATAGCCGTACCCGTGTCGTTTTGTCACTTGGCGGGATTGAGCTAGTCCCATGCCCCCGATTATCCTGGAAACCCTGCCACGCTGTTGACCGGTGGCCTAACATTTGACGGTTGGTTCCCTAAAACAGTCGCAGGATATCTAGGATTTGGAAAAATCACTCATGAGCTGTGCTTTCTGAGGAGCCTTGTTTGTATCTGCAGTTGAGGTCATGTTATTTATTTATTTATTTATTTCTACTGTATCCCATGACCTGTCGCTGCATCAAATTGGGCCCTGTTTGGCAGGCCATCGTTTTAAAAAACTGTCATTGTTCATAAAGAATCAATTTTTACTAAAACTCGAATCCCTTTGACAAGAGGGTATGGAAAGAACTGGATATCTGGTTAGCATCTGCATTTCTGACCATTGTGATAAAAAGAAAAATTCTTGAAGGTAGCTTGTGAGTTGAGCTATAGCCAAAAGGGTGGAATGTTGGAATATTTCAATTGCACAAAAAAAAAAAAAGAGCCAATATCTGCTAGGAAAATGCCCTGTTTTTTTCTTGCCTAAAAAATAGGGTCTTAAGCTCTAAGTTTGAAAAACTCTAGTAATTTGTTGGCAATCAAGGAAGGATACTCCTAGATCTCTTTATTTTCTTTAGTATCATAAGTCATCTCGGGGGTAGCACATGACGGGCTAGAGGATAGGTTCACCATTTGGAAATTTTGCAGAATCATGGAAGGGGATAAGTAGCTCTAATACCACCCGCGAGCTGAAGCGAACTAGGAATCTATGGGAAGAAGGTACAACAAACAAAGACCCAACCCTGGCACCTGCAGCTCCCGTACGGGTATTTTGGTACAGTAAGCATATCACAGTGGCCGAGCTTATTATATGAGCGCCGCCAAAGGAAATAGCCATAAAAGAAGAAAATAAATGATACGGGAAAGCGATGGGTTTCAGATGACGGCACTGCGTTGATTAGAGACACCGGAAACGGAGCGGAGGATGTGGCCCTGGAAGCGAACTAGGTTTATGAAAAAGCTGCTCAAGGCTAGGTTTTTGCAATAAATCGATACTGGCCGCCATCCCGGATGAAGCCTTGGGGTAGGAAATAAAAGCGCACAAAAACAGAACAATGAGTTAATTAGCGCCGTTTCCTGTCCTGATAGATGCTTATCCACATCACCCATAACAACTTTCAGGATGGCGTCAGCTCTAAGCCCAGTCCCTCCTTCATCTTTTTCCAGCTAATACTATCAACCATGTCGTGAATTTTGTTCTCCTATACAAGTGCATTGTGAAGCTTGTCCAAGCTCTCGCTAGCCGCTTCGTCGTTCCCCACCTGAAAAAAACTAGACGGCGACTTGTCTATCATTTGCCCCCATTGCATCCAGTTCCCTCGTACACTTGGCAATGTTCTTCTCAAGTGTGTCCAAATCCATGGGCTCTCCGTCGGCGATAGCGATAACGTTGATCGGCTTGACCCCCGTATCCCTCCTGTATCGCTTAAAGTATTCGTCCAGTATGACGTGGAGCCTCCGTCAGGTGGGTGTGACGCCTTCGTGGGGCTACGGAGGCGAAGATGATTGCAATTTCTCCGTCCTGCTTACATTTGTGTGCGAGCTGTTGAGGTTTAAAAAGTGGATGTCCACGCCGTCCGAGTCATGCGCCGTATATATGGGCACAATAGCTGCTAGCGGGGATGCATTGCTGCCGGTTGGAACTGGCCATATAGCCGCTGCCGTCTGTGGGAAAGATAGTATCGAATCTATAGAGCCTCGCGTATTGTTCGGCGGTGGGTGAGGTGTCGGAGAAGGCCTCGCATCTGATAGCGAGCGGTGGGATTCTCGGTCCGGATTCATAGGTTGGTGGTGGAGGGGCAATACTTGGATCGTTTGAGGGTGGGATCTTCGCGCGGGGGCGAATACTCCAGCACAGGGGAACTGTGAAATAGGGTCTTCGAATGGGTCCTACTTCCCATCACCTAAGAAGCTCCTGCTGAAGGAAGGTTGCCCTTGATGGTTGCGGAGATTCAGCTTTTTTTTCAAGAAGTTTATTGTGATGTTGAAAACCGATGTTATTGTTTGTGATGTTCGGTTGGGGATGTTGGG